TTTTTATTTTTTTCTCTTGTTCTGGCATTGGGAAATGAGGCTATTATGTCTCTTGGGAATGTGGCGTTTCTTCTGTTAGCCGGTCCCTGGCGATAGGCCTTGTCAATCAGTGGGGCTATGTTCTCTTCTAATTGTAATTGTCCTGCAAGCCACGGTGCGATGATGGTTTTTAGTTTGGTCGTTCCCTCCGCGTCCTCTGGTATGTTGCAAAATTTTAAATTAGGCTCCCTCAGTTTATTTTCCAACATCATTATTTTGGAGGCTGCCCATTCTTCTGATTTTTGTAGGTCTCTTATGTCGTCTTGTGACGTAATTGCCGCCTCTAGGGCCGATTCTGCAGCTTGGGAAACCTCCAATAATGTTGTCGTAATAGATTTCAGTTCGTCGGTTAAAGGCTGTATGGCTCGTCTGATTTGCTCCGCAATAGTTGATTCTAAGTGCCAAATTGTTGTAAAAAGTTCAAAACGAGATATTACCATTCCATCGTCCTCTAGAAGGTCCGGATCGTGGGTGCCCGCCATTTTGTGTTCTTGTGCAGAGGGTTCATCTGCAGGCGGTGTTTTTGGTTCTTTCGATAGAAATTTTGTGAGCTGTTGAGAATTTGCAGTTTTTTTAGCTGCCCTCGTTGCTCCTGACTTTCCCATGGAGATTTTAAGTTCGGTAGATCGGTTTTTAGTAGGTTGTTTTGTGATTAAAGCAGGTGGGGTGGGAGAGATAGCTCTCTATGCTTCCACCATTATCAGCCGCCAAGCTCCGCCCCTCCTCCTTCTGTTTTCCTGATCAGTTTGTAGCTGGTCCAAAAGGGAGCAGAGTTGTGATTCCTTGCTAGCTTCCCTTGTGGACTGTTAGCAGCATCCTGCTCCCCATAAAGTTGCTTTTCAAAGGGAGCTACTGGGTAGATGATGGGAACATATTCTGAGAATGTGCAGTCGTTTGTATCCTTGTTGATGCCCCAGTGTCTGCACCCTCTTTGCTGCTTCTCTTTAATCCTGCCCACCCCTGGACCTGAACCAGTGTACGGGGAAAGTCCTGGGCTTTCTATTCAAGTGGCTTCTGCCAAGATATTTGTGGATTAATTTGGGTAATGATTCCTTATAAAGGATTAAGAGTTGTGTGTATGGGGTTTGGGGTGTGGCAGCAGTGTTCAAGCCTTTTATGATTTCCTTTTTTCTTAGGCCTTGTGGAGGGTAAACTCCTTAGAAGGTTTGAGTCAGCCTGAACCTTTACTTTTGGTAGTAACAGCTGTGGCCAATTAAGGCTGAGATAGCTTAATAAGTGTGGTGGATAGAGTATGTTGCTGTAGTTACTAACAGCCATTAGTTATCAGACAGAGAAAGCAAAGCAGGAAATCGGAGGGGAGCCGAGAGACTTTTGGATTTTGTCCCTTTTCAGGAGCCTTGTATGAGGAATTAGTTTGAAGGCTTGGGCCGTTATATTTTATTTATTTATTTTATTATTTATTTTATTAATTAGATTCTTCTCCCACCCTCCCGCCAAAGCGGCTCAGGGCGGCTTACAACAATTAAAAACCAGTAAGAATTAATTGATGGTGGTAAGCGTTGATGGTGGTAACTGCTGTGTAATTTTGACTTTTATCTACACTGAGTATGGGACTGTTATCTTGTTTTCCTGTTTCCTCTCCTGCTTTGTCCTTGGATTTAGTAAATAAAGAGAATTGTTTTTTGTTGAATGTGGAGTTCCCTCCTTCGTTCAGCAAATAGCCCATGACCAGGATGAAGAGCACTATCAGAGTCCTTGGAGTTACAACTCCTTTACATTCCTTCTCTGGGTATCCCATCTGTGGAAGGAAAGAGGGTCCAGTGAAGGAGGAGAATGGAGTTGGCCACTGTGGGGCTGCCAGGTATATGGTCATTCCAAGGCTCCCATTAGTCATACTCAGTCCTCTCTGCTATAGTGGGTCATATGCAATCCTTTGTTCCTTATGAATAGGGACAGAATGATGTCGGGGTGGTATGGTCACAGCTCATTGGAGCTGGGTCTTTTTTATGAATACTTTTCTTCTACTGAGTGAGTATATGATACCAATTAGCTACCCCAGCGATGTGATGGCATCTGGGGTTGGGATTGCTCTGTCAGGGTCCCCCCCCCCATGGCCTTGGTAGTCATTCCTCATGAAAAGCTGTAGCATCGGGGCCATCATATCCTCCAGTGTTCTAGAAGGAGGCCTGTGCAGAAGCACTTTGGGACTCAGAGTGCTGCCATCACACAGAGATTTTTTCCTACTTATTTTGCAATTTTTACTATAATTAAATGCATTAGGTATACAGAGAGGCATTGCAGAGTTTAGCTGAGTTATTCCTCATTAGATTCTCTAGCATGGTATTCCAAACCCATCCATCTGAACTAAAGAATGCCAATACACAGACACAAGAGAAAAACAGAGCTAGAATAGAAGAAACCCAAGGGGGGGGGGAAGGAAATGGATATAGTGTTTCGTTTAGTTTTTTTCTTTTTTCTTTTCATTTTTGCCATCAAGTCGCAACCAATTTATGGCAACCTGCTAGGGTTTTCAAGGTGGTTGGCCATTGCCTCCCTCCATGCAATGACCCTAGTATTCCTTGTGGTTTCCCATCCAAATTCTAACCAGGGCTGACCTCTGGAGATCTGACAAAACCCAGCTAGCCTTGGCTATCCATGTCAGGGCACTTGGATCATTGGATATACCTAAATATTATTTCTCTTCCCTTTCTTCCTGAGTCTGTAGTGTTTATTTATCAGTTTATATGAATAACTGCATTGCACTATTACAGGTTTTGTCCTGAGTATCTGCTGCCTTGAATGGAAATAATTTTAGAGGGATAGCCATGTTAGTCTGTTATGGCAATGATAAATAGGAGTCTTATGGCACCTTAAACACTAACAAAAGTTTATTCCAGCATAAGTTTTTATATATGGATAATGCTCCCTCTAAGTTGTGAGTTCTTGTGAGCAAAAATTCTACTTTGTGAGCTACTGGCATTAATGTTGTGAGCAAGCGATTTGGCTACTGCATAAATTAGTTTGCACTGGAGCCATAATTCTGGAGCTAAGACAAAAATGTGTGAGCCACAGGCTAAAAAACGGTGAGCTAGCTCACACTAACTCAGCTTAGATGAAACACTGATGGGAACTCACTTATTCAGATGTTATAAGTGGATCCTCACTCAGAGTATTAGAAGAAGTAGGCTGTACTCCTTCAAAGCATATGCTTGAATGAAATGTTCAGGGCCAGCCCATCATAGACAATTTTTAGGAAGCGGTGTAGATTGGCCCCTTAAGAGGAGATGCCCCGCTGGCCTGCTGCTCTGCCCCTCCCTCACCTAAATAGGGTAGTAAATCGTGGGCTACCGCCCACCTTTCTTGGAGGGCGACCCACTTGCCCAAGGGGAGCCGAAGGCACCGTGCGGAGCAGCCATGAGGTTGCCCATCTTTCTCTGCCAGGAAACAGTGCCGTCTCTGCCAGGAAAGCCGCCCCTCCCCTCCCCCACCTCACCAAAAGCCCAGGGGAGGGGGGGCTTCACCCCCCACACACACATTCTCTTCTGACTGGTGCTCCTTCACAGCTTCCATGCGGGAGCCTGTGGGGGGGAGGAGAAGCCACCCCCACCCTGGCCCCAGCACCCACCCCCTCTTCTTGCCCTTGCCTGGCTCCCTCTCTCCCCTGGCATTGGCACCCTCATTCACAGGCTGTCAGTCCATTCCTCCATCAGTCTGGGCCCTCCCCCAAGCGTCCAGCTCTGCGGGGCACAGGAGGACCCTGAGCGGCCCAGCCAGCTGGGATCTATGTGGGGGTGCCTCGAAAGTGTCTGCCAGGAGTGATGCTGGGCTCATAGCACCTTAAAGACCAACAGAATATGTGGCAAGGTAGGAGCTTTCCTGACTCACTGCTCACTTCTTCATGCTGCGTGTGGTGGTTTAGAGAGGACAAGAAGGCAACAGCTCTGGAAGACAAATAGGATGTCTTGAAGTGGCACTTTAAAGGCCAATGAGTTCTTACTCTTGCATAAGCTTTCATAAGTTAGAGTGCTCTTCTCTGTGGCATTTTATGCTAGAATGAAAAGGTGGTAACTTTCTGGACCTTTCTGGAAACAGATCTTGAAGAGTTTGGCTGGTGAAGGAAGGCTAAGTAGGGAAATTTATGTTCAGTCTAGTTATACATACTTTCTTCTTCCTGTTTCTTATTGTAGGATTTTTTCACAACCTGCCATGTTAGTATAATAACTCCTGGCTTTGTTAATGACCCTGTTATTGATTCATTGGTATTTTTATGTTTACTGATTGTATTACTGTGCTAATTGTTACTGTAGAACTGGATCAGGAGCAAAGACACTGGGATTGTGGGCTTTCGAATTCCTAAAGGTCAGAGCACAAAAACACGTCTTAAAAGCCATTAAAACCAGAATAAAACCATATTGTTGAAAAATGTAAACCAATTTAAAATTAGCAATTTCGAATTTTGTTTTTTTCATTCTTCCTAAAATGCATTTATGTGTGAAAATTGGTGGGCGCATCGGGGTGTGTATGTGTGTGTGCCAGAAGGTAGCCTCACCTAGTGTGCAAAAAACCCTGGAGCCGACCCTGTGAATATTGTGAGTCTTTACGGTGCCATAAAGAGACTCCAGTTTATTTTTGCTGCTTTGAAAGATATCAGCTAGAATACTGCAAGGTGAGGGAAGAGATACAATGCTCCAAGGTAGCAGTTTTCTTTTCTTTCTTTGATACAAATTTGCCCATCATTCTGAACATGGAAGGAAGCATGACTCACTCAGTTATTAAAGTGGCACTAATTTAGAGACAAATGGTTTTATCCATGTTGTCAATATAGAGTTATGGGTGCAAGACAGGTCCTAATTTGTTAGTAACGGTGGCTACCTATTCAGTATGTAGCAGTTATTGTGTGCACCACAGAATCTGTAGTCAAACAGTTTGTAGCCCTCATTCTCGCCCTCCTTATGGCTTTCTAAGAGTTGAAAACAATAAAATATTGTTATTCCACTTGCCTGTTCTCTTATACATCATCACACAGCCTTCGTCTTCATTTGCATTATTTGGTTCATTGGGGGCCCAGGCTTCATAGGTCACTAGAGTTCCATCCAGCCACCTAAAGAAAATTATATGACATTACTTAGAGGTGGAATCATGCAGTGGGTCCTTTTTCACAATGTATACATTTACACTGAATTTGAAGGCAATTGTACAGGTTTTAATAGCATGCTATTGGGGACAGAGTTGGGTTTAAGGTATGCTGCCAGGTCTCCATCTATAGTGGGAGACCTCCATCTAGCAGTGCAGTGGGGGGAAATGAGGGGAACAAGTATTGGTACGACACCACGGTGTCACCTCACACAACCCCAGAAATAACATCATTGTGCTAGGTGATACTGTAGGATTCCCCTCAAACTCTGTGCTATAATCATAGAATTTGGGGGGAATTCTAGAGCATTGTGCCAATATGATGATGTCACTTCTGGGGTCATGCCAAAAGCAACATTGCAGGGTCAGAATGATGCATATTTGCATATCCCTACCGCTGAATCCTCCTGCCAGTTGACAGCATTGGGCTGGCAAATCTAGTCTGAGCACTAGAAAAACACTCAAATCCCTGTTCTGTATAAAGAATATATTGGGTGTCTCTTGGCAAATTTCTTCCACAGGAACCCCTTTTTGACATTTCTGTGACATACAAAGGTACCATACTTCAGTGATGTATTTCTGTAAAATATTGTTGAACCCTAGTTGATTGAACCACCTGTATACTTATATAAAGATTTTGTTCCAATATAACCTGATAATGGTCAAGCTGCTAGAGCTCAAGGCTTCTGGCAGGGTCTACTGCTACTGCCTTTCCATCATTCCCTCACCTGCTTTCCATACCCTTCCTACCCACTCACTAACAAGCCTTCCCACCATCAGCACTCGTAGTCAACTACAATGCACAGCGTCACTGGGGAAAGGCATCCATACAGTGTATGCACTTGGTAGCCCAGGTGGTGGGAGGACTTGCAAGCAAGTGAGCAAAAAGGGAAGGATGCATAGGCAGGCAGTGGGGGAGGGGCATGTGGGAGGGTAGGCAGGAAGGGAGGCACAGACAGGAGGCTTGGTGGTAGGCAGTGAAGGGGGCCCGAGTACTCTCTGCTCAAGGCCCTTGAAACTTTTTGCCAAATCTGGAATGAGCCCTGTTTCCACCCTGGAAGTTTTGCATCAGTGAGATTACATAGACAGCTTGATTTCATGTTTCCTAAAAATGGCTTAATGCCATGAGGATCATAGCTCACTAGAGTTCTATCCAGCCACCTAAAGAAAATTATATGACAGTACGTAGAGGTGGAATCATGCTTAATGCGATGTGGCACATCAGGTGTCCTGGGTCTTCAAAGAATTCTTCCCATGGTTTGTGTTTATTTCAGAATAGTGAAGGTCCATTTATGAAGATACAGCAGACTAAAATACTGCACAGTCTTGAACCAAAAGGTTTCTTTATAAACCAGATGTACCCACAGGTCTTAAAGTGTGATCCTAAGATGAATTTTGTACCTTTCTAGATAGTAACAAGAAAGCAAGCTGGTTTTGTTTTTAAACCAGGGTTTAAAGCAACACAAAGCATTTCATTAGTACTAGTTTCCTAGTACTGTGGCCTGATCCTACCCATGGCTGTATCTTGCAGATAAAGTGCATCTTACGGGTTCCAAAGTTTGCCTATGTTACCTCAGGCTTTCATATTTCTTCCCTGTCTTCCTTCAGCGAAGGAACAATATGTGAAGGATTCTGTAGTGTGTTACAGTCTACCATTACCATGAAGCAAATAAAGATAGGAATTCTGATTCTCACAATGCATGGACCAGCAACCTTCAGAAACAAAAAATATACTTAAGGAGGTGAAATCATACCCTGTTTCTGGTTAGAGCCACAAATCGGCTGGAATCTAGTTACTTTGAAAGCATTCAGAACTGGGGGTTTTTTACCCAAAAGAACAAAGTTACTTTTGAGACTTGTTCCATTTTATAACAATCTTTCATTTATTACTAAATTATATTATCCTTAGTAGAATGTGTGCAACTAGAAATCTGTTTTGTACATTTTTATGCTTTTTGTTCACTTACCGGAACTTTCCATCAACACCCACAGTTAAACCAATGTAAACATCATCCTTAAATGTATGAAAGACATTCTGAAATATATAAAGAGAGAACTGGTTATCAAGGCAAAAAGTACTTAAGTCAAAATGCTCAGATATTTTCAACATGATTACAGTTTGGTTATTCTCTTCAAAGTGCAAATACTGTTTACTATGAAACACAGAAAGATGAAAGAAACATTCACCATGGCATGAATTACACTTCCTGCTTGTGATAGCTTAAAAGGCTTTATTAGAAAACATGGTAAGAAAGAATTTGCAATAATGTACAGGAAAAGGTACTGCACAGGGGAGCTGATGCGGCTGTGACAACTTGCCCAGGGTAAACCCCACACACACACCTCTGTTTGTGCCAGGAGCTGAGGAGGGACAAGCAGCTGCCAGTGCTTACCTGGCATTTCCTTCAAGGTAGCAAGCAAGTCAGAGAAAAGCCCCAGTGCCTGCCCTTAGCTGGGCAGCCAGTGGAAGCAGCTAAAGCCATGCTACCTTTCCTTCCCCTGGAAAGACAGTGATGCCTGCAACAGATTCCAGGAGAGGGTGAAGCAGAGAAAGAGAGAAGCCATGATTAATTGACTCCTGGCACAACAACAGGTACATCCTTCTGAAAACAAAGGTTGCAAACGTCTGCCCAGGGATCTTTGAGTACTGAGTTACTCAGGTTGCAGTTCTCTCTATAGTGTTGCCCATTTCACCTGGGCAGGTCTACTCAGAAGGACGTCACAGTGTATTCAGTGGGGCTTACTCCCAGGCTAGTGTCCTTAGGACTGTAGCCTCAGTGTGTTACTCTACAGGAGCATTCAGGTCTGATCACAAATAATTCACACAGGTAAGTGTCACTTCCTTGTTTACCTATCCATCTGCCCAATGCATGCTCTTAATTTACTAGGCTGCTGAGTTTGATGGGAACTGTAGTTTTGTTTGCCTTCTGATTCAGTAGGGAGAAACCATCATTCCCATCAACGTCTGCAGGAGTCAGGTTGGGGAAAGACTAAGAAGAATACATTGACAGGAAAGATGGACACACAGGGCTTGCCCTATGCCCCATCAACACAAACACACAAACACACATGCATGCTCCCCTCCCCCTGCCAGCCTCTATCTGGGAAAACTATGGGCCAGTGCTGGCTGCCAGGCTCAGATGCACAGTGGGGAACCTGCAAGAACTTTCAGGGGACACTTCATTTCCCTCTGTATCCCCTTGCTCATATTATTTCCTCTCTCCCTCCACCTGGCAGCCCCCAAATCCTCACCTTTCCCTTCTTCCTTCTTTCCTTCTTGCCCATCAACCTACCTTTTATCTCCCCCCCATTTTCAGCTATATTTATTATTTCATTTATACCCCCTTTTCTCCACAGTGGGGTCCCAAAGCAATTTACATCATCCCTGTGTTTTCTTTTTCATCCTCATACCAACCTTGTGAGGTCAGTTAGGCTGAGAATGAGTTACCCAGTGAGCTTCCCAAAGTTACCCAGTGAGCTTCCACAGCAGAGTGGTGATTTGAACCTGGGTCTCCCATACTAGGACGTGAAACACTAACCACTGCACCACAGGCTGTTGTGGGGTGGCTACAGTTGAACAGTAGCAAGCATCTGGGACTGGGTAAGTCATGCAGGTCATGTGGTGGATGTTGGGTGCCCTGAACCCAATTAGTCCTCAGAAGAAGAGGAGGAAGAGATTGGATTTATACCCTGCCCTTCACTACCTAAAGGAGTTTCAGAGCAGCTTACAATCTCCTTTTTCTTCCCCTCCCACAACAGACATCCTGTGAGGTAGGTGGGGCTGAGAGAGCTCTTTCTAGAACTCAGGGGTCGATTCGGGGGGATTGCGGGGGATCGCCGTTCCCCCGGGTGAGGTGCGGGGGCGGGGCACACAACGAAGCCCCGCCCCTGCTTCCGGTCGAGGTAAAATGGCGATTTGACGCATCCTGAAATCGCTCAGGGTGGAGGGTGGTTCCTTATGGCAGTTTGGACAGTATTCTGGTCCAACGCGGCTTCCCCCAGGCAGGGGGTATGACTGGCAGGCATCAAGTCCAAGAGAGAGTTGAGATTGGTGTGATCAAGCCTCGGAGGAGGCTTGTATTACACTTTGATCCCCTCTCCCTAAGCGGGCGTTTGCAATCAGCACTAAAGGAGCACACCGAGCTGAGATGTCAGCTTAAAATCGACATTTCCCGATTTCAAGACATAAAGGGGAAAGAGCTGGAATGACGGAGACATTGCGAAAACCAGAAAGAAACAAACAAGGTAGCGAACATTAAATTGCTTACCGGGAGGGAGTGGAGAGTGCAAGTTGAACTATCCGGATAAGCGATAACGAACTTTAAAAACATTTGAGCAAAATCGGGCTGGAAAAAAGTTGTTAAATGAAGCGAATTTAAAGGAAAAAGGAAATTGTTTAACATTCCTGTGGCGGTGGGAGAGATAAGAGACTGAAACTGACGCCCGAGACATCGCAAGAGTAAGAGAGGGCAAAGCTCTGAAGGAGACAAAAAAAGCGGTGTTCTGGAAGTGACACTGAGAGACCATAGAGGAGAACTAGGACTGCGGCTGGACAGGAGCCGGGAGGACCGGAAGAAGATCGGAAGGAAAGGAGACGGATCGG